TGTGTATCTTGGGGAATAGAGAAAAAGGAAGTTTCCAAAGGAATTTTTATTATGTCAAAGTAGATATAGGATTCTGATTCTGGAGGGTCAGGCTAAGATTACCTTTTGCCCTTAGCGAAGTATTAACATCGAGGCAGCTGAGCTCCTAGAGGAATGTCACTCTCCCTGTTTCAAGGGCTTGTCAAGGGGCTCTAAGTAGTAAGGAAATTTATAATTTTTCTTCTGCCTTTGTTTTCCACATCACAATGACTTCTGGGCTTCCAGGATAAGAATTAGGCAACTTAAAACAAAAACAAATCTTTGATCCACAATCTACAGGAAAAGAAAAATCCTGGAGAAGTTTAAGAGAACTGACTTTGCACTTAAGCTAGTAAAAAATTAGATAAAAATATAAGGTGATATTAGAGCCCATAAAATTTGAAGGCAGTCTGGAGTACATAGGCGATAATGCTGTAAGACTATGTGATTTGCCTGGCTCCCCCTTCCCGCAGGTCTGAATTTGGGGTTGTGGTGGATACAAACCCTGTGTGCCTTTCCATCTGCCTTCTTTTTTCTGGGGTACCACCTGCCTTGCAGACCATGCTGCTGCCATCAGAGCCACTGCCAAGTCTCCTAAGGTGGCTGGAGGCCAAGTTGAAACCCTGAGCCTGTGTTTCTCACCCTGAGTGAGCCCTAACCATGCTGAGTCTCCTTTTGCTGTCAGCATGGATGAAATGTCACACCGTGGGGTATGGGGTATGGTTTTCTGAGCAACCACTAAGGGTTTGGATGATACACCCCAGAAGTGCAGGAGAGTCTATTCCCTGTGAGCTAAACCTTGACTGAGCAGAAAGAGGAAATAGTAGGGACCAGGCAAACAAATTCCCTCTTTTTTTCTTCCCTGTAGATCGCTTTAAGATTTTATTTCTTCCCAAAGATCTTCTGGAGAAGTTCCAGGTGCTAAGCCAACATCCTTGCCAAGAGCCTGCTGAGTTTCTTCATGGCTCATTGTGAAGTGGTGGCCAGCATGGTAACACATCACCTCACTTTGCTTCCCGTTTTTTTTTCTCGCCTCTTTTCCCCTATCTTCTCACTTTTACTATTCTGGGATTGCACTTCCCAAATAAAGTGTCAGCACTCCAATCCTTATTTCAGGCTGTATTCTGTAGGAAAGTTTTTCTGAAAGAGCTGAAACAACAGTGCTCACTTTACAGGAGTGCTGGGTATTTTCCCCTTGCCCCCAGGAGTAGTCACTCTCCACTTTTTTCCCACCCTGCCCCCTGCTCCAGGAGGCTGTGGAACTCTTATCAAGAGGACGCCCACACCTCCAGCTGCCACTTAAGTCCCACCAGTGGGGTGCCCTGGTAGGAGATTAGAGGGATAAACCATTTATTCTCCTGGCTCCAGGGAGAGGTCACCTGGGGCTGTTTGTATCATCAAAAGAAAGTCACAGCTGGTGGTCTCCTCCATCTGACTTTCTTGATTTCTGAGACCTGCTTCCTCCTCTCATCTCTTTGGACCTACAGAACAGAACAGCTCCACACCGCTACTCTCAGCTTATACACCATCCCTTGAAGCTCTTCTTCACCCTGCCCACTCCTTTGGAATGTATCTCTTCATAAATAAATTATTCCAATTTGAATTATTCTAATTTTGACATTGCTATCTGTTTCCTTTTGGGACCAGTAGTGAAAAGGAATGGTTAAATTATAATACGTTTTATCTGTGTTGGAGTAGTGCGTAGCCATTACAAATCAGTTTATGTTTGGTAGTAAAAGCAAGTGATGCACTTTTAAAAAAAAAACAAAAAACATTCAAGAAGTCAAGCAGAGTTCTAGAGGGAATCAGAATTCCATCACCTGAAAGGGACTCTAATGAAGGGACCTTTGATGGGAAAGCAGACAGAGTAAAAGGAATCAATATAGGATGGTGAAGACCGGGGACAAGAAAGGGCAGAAAACATGATCACGCCAACTGCTGACGGGGCAAAAGGAAGAAACACAGCATTAGAACACCCGAGCCCAGTCCGAGTGGGAGGCCTGGAGGAATGGCCGCTTCTCCAGAGATGTAGTCATGTAAGGACACAGACCTGCCGGGACCTAGTCCCCAGCAGGTTGATAGAAGGAAATGCCCTGACCTTTCTCCCCTCCTGCCCACCAGTCTTCTCTCTCCAATCTCTGGTCTCCAGTCAACACTCCCATTGTCTGAACCCAGTTGGAAACTAAAGTGATGAAGGCCCGTGGGGGTCAGCCTGCTTGGGTTCAGAGTGGGGCTGGCAAGGGCAGAAGGACAGGTTTGGGTTGGCATGAAGTGAGGCAGGCAACAGACAGTAACCAGGACGATTGGGTATCAAACCCCATGCAAATATAATCCTAATTTTGTGAAAAGTGATACATGTATTTATGTATAAGGGAAGACTGAACTAGAAATTTAAAGTAGCAACCTCATAGTAATAAAATAATTTTTTTTTATTTGTTACAGTGCTTTGTATATTTTCCAAATCAAAAAATGGTTGTGTAATACTTTAAAATATATCTTAGGGAAAAAATGCTAATTAGATGATGTGGTTATTTTAGTGTTCATTTTTAAAGGAAAAGTTTCTATTGGTGGCTCCTCACGGTAAGAATTTTACTTCCTGGAGCACCTGGGTGGCTCAGTCGGTTGAGCGTCTGCCTTTTGCTCTGGTCATGAGGCTGGGGTCATGATCTCAGGGTCTTGGGATCAGCCCCATGTCAGGCTCCCTGCTCAGCAGGGAGTCTGCTTGTCCCCCCACCCCGACCACACCCCTACTCCCCGGCTCCTACATGTGTGCGTTCTCGTTCTCTCTCTCTCTCAAATAAATAAAATCTTAAAAAAAGAAAAAAAAAGAATTTGACTTCCTGAATTTTTCCAGAAGTAGGATCTCATCTAGAGTAGGGTTAAGGCCAAATGAGAGGGATTTTTTTTTGTTTATTGATTGGCTTCTCAAAGCACTACTTTGTTTTCACACCATCCTGCCAATCATTAAGAAAGAATTATCTAATGTGGGACAAATGGTATCCCAGCTCTAATCATATTAGATGGAATCCCATTAATTATGATCATCTTTGTAATGTAGCAAAGCTGGTCTGTGATATTCACTTTGTCAAACAAAATTTCTTAAGTTGCACAAACCTCAGTGAATAAGCATTAACACATAGTTTCAAAATCCTTTCAATTTAATTACATTGTAAACAAATCTCTCCAATCACATTTGCTCTCAAAACTTCTTTAGAACTGTTTGATTTCTTTTTCTCTTGCTTCGTGTCTCTTGCATTTTCACTCAAATGACAAAGCACTGTGGAGGAGCACAGGGGCGTGGTCAGTGGCCTGCGTCCACCCTGGCTCTTGCACACTCAGCCCCTTCTATTCCCAGGACTGTGCACAGACTCGCCCGCAACACATGTGCTGTGTGGGGTAAAAGTGGCTACTTCCTCCCGAGAAATATTTAGCATGTACAGAATGAGATGGCAAATCTTTGGAATGTCACAGACCAGCTGTAGATGGCAGTATTCCTAAAGCAAATCCTTAACCTCCACCAATGTCTCAGCCCTTCTCGGCCCCTGTGCAAGCTCCAGCCCAGGAACCTCTACTACCTGCCAGGCTATTTAAAGCTAAGGATTATGCAGGGAGCAGATGCGGTGCATTTTGCCATCTTCTGAAATCTAAAATTTTAAGTAGCATCAAAGAACATAGAGTACAACTCTTTGAATTCAGTAATTACACTTTTTAAAGTGGTTTCCTAAACTTAATACAAACTTATATGAATATGAGTCAACACATATCTTTGTAATATTGCATAAATATCCACAGAACATATGCTGTTGTTAAAAATACATTCAAACAGGACTCAGACTTTTAAAAAATGAGGTACAGATTTAGAACATTTTAAAAATAGAATTTACATCTGAAAATTCCAGTATTATGTTTAAGGCAGTAACAGCTGTAATGAATCATAAATATATTTCAGGCCAAATTTCTAAGTGCTGTATTTTAACTTTCAGACTCTATATTTACAAATTCCACTTTAATTAAAATTCGTTGAAAAGCTTGTCAAGTGAAGGGAATCACAACTTTTTTTAGCACTGTAAGAAGTTTTCATAAAATGGATAAGAAATTCATATGGCTCTTTTGCCATCAATTATAACAAATGCAGTTTCTGGGGCATTTTTTGAGTAATGAAGAAATAATTCTGAGTCTTCACTAGTATCCAAGTCATCTCCTAAACTGTCAATGTTTCAGGTATAAGAATAGCATCCCTTTGAGCTATAGGAACATTTAACGATTTTCCTCTCTGAGTAAGAATAACAAACACAACCTCAACATACCCAGAACTGTGTCTCTATTTTTAATCTTCATAAAAATCATTTCAAAGGTGGTTAATACAAACATTCCCGTGGTACCGTTGGCTGAGCTATAATCTTCCTTGCCGTATGAATAAAGATTTCACTGAGTCCCAACCGAATCCTTTACTTCCACCACCAGAATTCCATCGTGACAGAGGATGGCAGACAAATCTTTGGTTTCGATGCCATCTGGCAGTTTATACTGTCGGGTGAAGCTTCTTGAGATAAAACCATGCTCATCCATTCTGGTTCCGTGCTGAGCCTTGATCAGCAGCCAGCCTTCGAAGGTCTGAATGATGATATCTTCAGGGAGGAACTGGACCACATCCAGCAGGATCTGGAAGTGGGATTTGGCTGCTTGGGTCAGCATCTCCGCCTCTGAGTCCACTGGAGGAACCTGGGCCGCCCTGGCTTTTCTCCGGTCCACAGTGGTTGGCCCCGGCAGTGCGTATAAAGCATGATCCAGCCTGCAGTCTTCCAAGCCTCGAGCTTCAAACTCCTCCTCGTAGCGCACTGGAGTCTCAATGAGGTGCCTCAAGATGATTTTTGCCATGGTTGGAGGCAGAACCAGTATCGAATGGCTTCCCTTCAGTCTGTTTGGTCAGAGGCGAACCCTCTCAGTTGCCTACTGACTAGATTATCAGTTGGAACAGCTACTCCTTGTAACCCTGCGCAGACGCAACTACTTAATTAGGCCTGAATCATACCACCACACGCCCACTCTTGTCTTTTCACACACGCTGACAATGAACAGCTATTTATAGGGCATGGTTCGAAGTTGCATTTAGCACACAGCCTGCTCAAGCTGCCCAGGCAAGGATCGTCCTTACATTCTCAGTTATCCTTGGCAAGTGTGTCTGCTTTGCTTGCCTCAAGAGAAAAAGAGAATTAGAATCAGAAACAGCATTTAAAAAAAAATCTCTGGGGGTGCCTGGGTGGCTCAGTCGTTAAGCGTCTGCCTTCGGCTCAGGTCATGATCCCTGGGTCCTGGGATCAAGCCCCGCATCGGGCTCCCTGCTCGGCGGGAAGCCTGCTTCTCCCTCTCCCACTCCCCCTGCTTGTGTTCCCTCTCTCGCTGTGTCTCTCTCTGTCAAATAAATAAATAAAATCTCAAAAAAAAAAAATTTTTCTGAGTGAGTGTCTGTCCTTGTGAACTGCAGTGATCTAAGGGACTGTGGCTTCTTAGAACAGTCCAGAGATATGCACTCATCTTATAATATGAGCTAAGACTGCATTCGTCGTTGTCTCCAAGTGCAAAGCTGGGAGGGATGAAGGTAGCTATGATTGACACAGATACTCAAATCTCAGACATGCAACCAACTCTCAGCCCTCTGTCCTATACATTTTCTTTCTTTTTCATCTTTTCATCATTTGTCCTTAAGGGACATCTGAGCCAAGTCATCTGGGTTTATTACATCTGACTCATCAAAAATGAGATCAGATGACTAAGTTAGATAATGATGTCAAACCTCAGATGGGGGTTGAGGAAGGCATAGAATGGGGAACTTAGCAATGAAAATAAAGCCACAGGGGAGAGAAAAATGTTAAAGCGTTGAACTATTTGATAGTAAAGTCCAAAAAACTAAGGATTAATCTAGTTGTAGCTCTGCTATTAAATTGGCAAAAATAAATGACACATAATTTCTTAACTATCACACCCTTTATATTCAACTTACATTAAAAAAAAAGAGGCAACTCTCTACCCATTGCTTCAGAAGGATCTCCAAGACATGCTTAGTAAAAAGAAAAGTCCAGAACAGCATATAATATGCTACTATTTATGTTTTTTTTGTAAGTAGGTATTTGCTTATATAAATAGAACCTCTCTGAAAGATATGTGGCTGGGAACAGCAGCTGCCTCCTGTGATGGTGACAGTGATTGGGAGGCAGGGGCTGGAGGGAGACTGGCTTTTCACCATAAACACATTTGTGCTTTTTATTCCTACAGTGTACGTAAGGTACAAATGCACAAGAAGTTTTAAGATATAGAAAACTTCCACTCCACAGAGGTTAGTATTTTCTAGAATGGGTAGACTCAGGAATACTTTTCCTTAAAAATCATAAATCCATTTTCTTAGAATGACAGAAAAATGTCTAAAAAATTAAACGTCGGAAAACAGAAGGGAACGACCTCCCTTAGCTCCTTTTTATTACTCTAAAAACCTCTGCGGACGTTTTGGTATGTACTTAAGAACATGCCTTAATAATGCTGTCCACACTCAGCTTTTTTGACCCGCGCTTTACAGGTCGGTGGCCCTGGAGGGGCACATGTACTCTTTTAGATATTTTAATGTCCTCCGACTCATAAAATATTGAGAGCTGTTTTCATCAGTGCTGCTCTGAGGGGTAAGTCAAGAATAGAACTCACTGCCGGTAGCAGGAAATAGATAAGATATTAAGGATTTGGCTTTAAAACACTTGCAACAGTCAAGGCAAAACTGAGAAGGTACAGAGGTTTTTCATCTAACCCCTGCCCCCATATAGGCATGGTATCCCCCATTGTCAACATCCCCATCAGAGAGCTACATTTGTTGCAACTAATGACTCTAAATTGACATACCATGATCACCCCCAGTGTACATTAGGATTTGCTCTTGGTGGTGTGCATTCTATGGATTTGGAAAAATGTTATAATGGCATGTATCCACTATTATAGTATCATACAGAGTAGCTTCACCGCCATAATAATCTCTGTGCTCTACCTGTTCATCCCTCCCTCCTCTGACCATGCTCTAAAAACTGCTATAAAAAATAAAGCCTATTTAAAAAACGAAAACTGAAAACCTAAAAACTAAAACTGTTCTAAAAAAATAAACTCTTTAAAAAAAAATACTGCAAAGATACTGTTAGGGTGGGCAGAGGAAGTGTGTCTAGTAATCTTATAGTTTCTCGCCTCCAGGAACCTCTAAAAGAGGCAAGGAGGACCAGATGTGAGAGGTGTTTCCATATGGGATTGTGTGTGTGAGTTGCTGGGGTTAGAAATGAGCATCCAGGGCGCCTGGGTGGCTCAGTTGGTTAAGCGACTGCCTTCGGCTCAGGTCATGATTCTGGAGTCCCGGGATCGAGTCCCGTATCGGGCTCCCTGCTCGGCAGGGAGTTTGCTTCTCCCTCTGACCCTCCCCCCTCTCCTGCTCTCTCTCTCTCATTCTCTCTCTCAAATAAATAAATAAAATCTTAAAAAAAAAAAAAAAAAAGAAATGAGCATCCACTTTTCTGATCAACACCCAAGACTTCTCTCAATGTTTTCCCAAAACTGCCCTTTGACCTTGCCCACCCCTGAACTGCCCTCCTCCTCCTCATCACCTACCTCGACCCTTTCTCCCTTTGGAGAATCTACCAGGCTTCCAAACTGGTCTTTCTGCCCCACCACTTGCCCTACTGTCCATCCTCCCTGGGTTTTTTTCCTACAAACCCAGTCTAATACTATAAATGTATTTTCTCTTCCTTGTGACTTTATATTCCAGTTGGGGAAGGCAGACAATGGCAGTTTGAGGTCAGAAACTTAGGGTTCACTGCTGCATCCCCAGCACCTAAGACAGCACCTGGAAAGTGATGGAAAAAAGACATCACACTGCTATAGATTTTGTACTTCTTATTCTGTTGGTCCTTGATGCCATTTGGCCATCCTGTACTTGGATCAGCGTCTCCTATTTCTCCAAACTGGATGCTGTAGTTGTCTTCCACTCCTCAGGTCTTCCCTTGTGGCCTGGTCTCACTCTCTCGATGAACTGACTTCCCCTGAGGCCTTGTACATTCACACCCAGACATCTCAGAGGGAGAGAATCTTCCTCTACTCCTTTATCCCTGCCTGTGATTCCCTTGTTCCCTTCCTCCTCCTCTGGGCTTTCATCCAGCCACTTACCCTTTCCTGGGTATTCTTCAGTCTCTCAGTATCCACGCTCCATCAGCCTAAAGTCAAATATGCCTCATCTTTTTAAAACAAGACCTCCTAGACCTTTTGTCACCTGTAAGCTAGTTATCCTCATGCCCTCACAGCCCAGCTCCTTGGGTTTGTAGCCTGGATTCAGTGGTCACTCTCCACATTGCTGCAGAATAACTTTTGCCCTACCACCAACTCCACCTTTAGTTAGGTCAAAGTCAGCCTCTTTGCTAAGTCTATACTTTAACTTTATCTTCCCGCACCTATCCAGCATTTGACATAAGCTTCTCATCAGGAAAGAATGTGAACTGTTTTTTTCTTAGCTCTCTCAAGAGGACTAGCAGAGTTTTATTCTATTCCATGCATTCTTAGTGGGGACAATATCACCCACAAGGGGACAAAAATTGGTCCTTATAGAGAAAAATGCATATAATTTAAGATTATGTAAAATCTTAGCTATTAGATAATGGTCTGTGGCCCTCCAAAGGGCCACACATACATAAACAGACACATAGTATATCTCCGGTATTAAAATTTCACAGGGGAGAGGGAGGAGCATTAGGTGAAAAATGTCTTAAAAGACTCCTGGGGGTGGGGGGCACGGTGCAATAATAAAACAGGTGGGAAAGACTGCTCTAGTCGGCTTCATGAATTGCTCACCTGGACCCCCATGGACAGGGGCTTATTTGGGGGATTCCAGTAACAACAAGGCTTGGAGTCTGAAAAGCTTCCCTAGGAAGAGTTATCTCTCAGAGATGAGATGGACAACAGAGTGGGGCAGATGAAGCTTTGGGCAAGGAAGGGAAGGGGGGACTTGGAGTGTTCCCTGCTGAGGAATGGCATGTGGCAGGGCCTGGAGCCAGAACTGTGTGATTGCAGGATGCAGAGGACTCGGTGTGGCTGCCATGCAGACTACAGAGTATGAAGCAGGAACAGGAGGCTGGAGAGGTGAGCAAGAACCAGATCGTGGAGAACCTTGGTGTTATTTTTGTTGGGACAAAATAACATTGTCAAAGCTGTCTGAATTTTTACCAGTTGCTCTAGGAGTGAACCAGAATCCTATTTTAAAGTAAACACTATTTTTTTTTTATCTCTTCAAAATCAAGATTTTTGTGAAAGATTTTTGTTTTGTGTTTCCAAATTAAAACTTAGGTTCTATTCTGGAATATTGGAGTTACCTTCATGAAGACCCAAATCAGTGCCTTTTTTACTTTTTACTTTTCTGACTAGACCCACAATAAGAAATTTGGTTAGCATCCCCACCCATGGAGCACACATATGCACGTCCTAGGCACAAAACACTTAGCTTTAGTACTGTGATCCACTCTGATGGTCTCTATTCCGTTCCACTGCGCTTAACAGTGAGCCTGGCAACTCACTAAGTTGATTTCACAACCCCAAATTGGTCACAACCCAGGGTATGGAAAACAGTTAACATTTTACGTTATTAAGGAAGGTAGTTTACCATCTTTGTGGGGTGAATTGCTTCTCTGCAGAGAGATTGTGATGGTCTCAACCGGTTTTCCTTCTGTGGCCGCGGTGAGACATTGAGTAGGTAGGGAAAGGAGAAGTGCAACAAGGCCGAACAGTATGGCTTCTGTCAAACTCTGATGAGGTTAAGGAAGACAAGGATGGGAGCATAGAATTTAGCATTAAGGGTGTCTTTGACTTAACTGAGGGGAGAGGCAGGGGCAGAAGTTAAACTGCAGTGGGTTGGGGAACGACTACAATTTCAGACTACAATTTCAAGGAGCCAGGTGGGAGGGGATGGAAAGAATTCCCTAGAGGCTGACATAAGGCCTCAAAGGATTGTTTTGTTTTAATTAGATGCTTTTAAGAAAATTGCCCATTAGTCTGATGGAAAGGAGACAACTGGTTAGCAAGGCTTTCTGAGGGGGGCATGGCTGATAGAGCTGAGAACTGGATGGCCAATATCCTGTTTTAAACATTTTTTTAAATTTTATTTATTTATTTGAGAGAGAGTGCGAACACAAACAGTGGGGGAAGGGCAGAGGAAGAAGGAGAAGCAGACTCCCCGCTGATCGGGGAGCCTGCGGTGGAGCTCAGTCCCAGGACCCTGGGATCATGACCTGAGCTGAAGGTAGAGGCTCAACTGACTAAGCCACCCAGGCGCCCCTAAACATTTCTTTTAAAGAATTTTCCTTCTGTCATCCTAAAGTCACGAATAAGGTTTTGTTCCACATTGCAGCCTGGTATCAACTAGGCTTTGGGGGAATTAAGAAAGGTACTGTACACATGCTTTGGGTAAACCAGAGTCTAGGGCCTTGGCTGCCCAGAGAAGCAGTCATGAAATGACAACAGACCATAGCAGCAGTCTGGAAGGAGGTAAAGTGACAGCCAAGTTGCAACATGCACCCCTGCCTACAGGGACCCCAAGATATTTGAAGGGAGATTTGATCAGACCTCACTGCAATCTTGTAGGCTGGATTCAGCCTTATGGCTATTAAGGATTTTACTTTAGATGGGAGCCATAATAAGCACAAATACGTTTTAACAGGGTTTGAAAAGCTGGAGAACGCAGTCTTCCTAAGACACTGATTGGATCTCAGGGTCCTTCCTCTGATCAAGTACCTGCGGTGGTTTTAGGCTCTCTCATGTGAAAACTCTTGCCGTTGTACAATCTGATCTTGATTAATTCTGTCTAAACCTACATTTATAGGATTTTCTCCATCATATGTTCCAAACTCTTTGGTCTCCACCAAAAGGACCAAAAATATAGGTAGGGAGTATTGCTCTGGATGATCCCTATCCTCTAGACTAACTACTCTGCTGTCCTCCAAACACTCCTTCTGCTTCGCAACCCCCCCCCCATGCTATTTCTTTCAGCTGAGATGCTATAATAATATAATAATGAGATGCTGAGTAATGGCCCTCCAAAAGATGTCCATGGCCTAATCCCTGGAATCTATAAATGTTCCCTTACTTGGGTAAAGATGTTACAGTTGTGATTAAATTAAGGGTGTTGATATGAGGAGATTATCCTGGGCTCCAAATGCCACCATAGGTGTCTTTATAAGAGAGTGGTAGAGGGAGATTTCACACACACACACACACACACACACACACACACACGGGGAAGCAGAGCACAGAGAAGATGAAGCAGAGAGAGACTGCAGATGCTGGTCTTAGAGATTGGAGTGATGAGGTCACAGCCAAGGAATCCCAGAAGCCATTAGACACTAGAAAAGGCAAGGAACGGATTCTCCCCTGGAGCCTCCAGAGGGAGGCAGCCCTGCTGTTGGACTGCTGGCCTCCAGGACTGGGGGAAGATAAACACCTATTGGTAAACTAGGCAGTTTGTGGTAATTTGTTACAATAGTCACAGGAAACTATACAGATGCCCTCAACCTCATCTTACTGCTAATGCTCTGATGTCCTTCCTTTAAGGGTCAATACTCCTTCTCCCTGAAGAATGCCCATATATCTTCAGCTGAAAATAATTGTCCTGTACTTGCTAGGGATGAGGTTCACCTGGAACCTTAGTTCTAAACTCCTAGGTCTAGTTTTACACATTATTAAGCTAGGTACTATGCTAGGAATCATGGGACATAGAGCAGGTGGTTCAAAAACTAGTGAAGGAGGGGTGCCTGGGTGGCTCAGTCATTAAGCGTCTGCCTTCAGCTCAGGTCATGATCCCAGGGTCCTGGGATCGAGCCCTGCATCGGACTCCCTGCTCCCCCTGCTTGTGTTCCCTCTCTCACTGTGTCTCTCTCTGTCAAATAAATAAAATCTTAAAAAAAAAAAAAAAAAAAAACTAGTGAAGGAGAAAAGCTTTGAAAGATTCTACTCATTCAATTGGTTCTAATGTGCTCATGACCCTTCAGGTCCACAAGTCTGAAGAGACCACTTATGTCTCCTGATGAGAGTGTTATCCTAGATTCAGGTTTATCTGGCACAGGAATGGACATGTTAGGGGCAGGAGTTCAGATTTGGAATGAATTCCCACTATGTTTACTCTGCCTTCCTCAAGTCCTTCTTGCTGGGTTCACCAAGGCACCCACTCTGAGGCTCGTCCTTGCTCCTGCTCCTGCTCCTGCTCCTGAATCCACTGTAACCAAGGCAGATGACTCATCAATAGCCTCACCTCACTGTTACAGTGAAGCCAACCTCCCCAGACCCTGTGGCATAGCCACAGAACCGGGTATCTGCCTGCCCTCTTGAGTCTCCAACCAGATTCCAATCACAGCCCTTCCTACTCTTGGAGTTAGCCCAATTTGTAAAGCTGAACATTGGCCAAGATTTTCTCCTCTCATTGCTTTCTTCCCTGCCAACTTCCACAGTCCTTCTTACAGCCTGGATCCTGTCCTGAATCTTAACCCCATGGCTAGGGCCAGGGTACCCCTCTAGAGCCCACCTGTTCTTTCTGTAGAAACAGAATACTAGTTTCTATGCCCTCCACCTGCTAGCCAGGATCCTGCCAGACTGCCTGCCTTCTGAGTTAAAACAGCACTGGGATCATGGCCTGCCAAGGAATGATGATCTGTAACCATCGCTCAAGCAGCTGTGCCTTGGACTCAGTGGAACCTGCAGTGCAGCCAGTGAGAGCAGACAGGTAGCCTACCCGCCCCACCTCATCCTCCTTTTCCTGACATTGATTTTCTGAGCACCAGTGGACCTTGATCTTGAACCAAGTGTCTGTACTTGGACCCATCTCATCTCTTACAGATCTGCTACTTCATGGTGGTTAAGAACATGGAATAAGGGTGTATCCTTTGGCATGTTACTTCACCTGAGTATATTGCAATTTCTTCATCTCTACTATGGGTATAATAACAAAACATACCTCCCAGGGATGTCGGGAAGATTGGATTTGATTCAGGCCATAAAGCATTTTCTCTATAAGGCATTGTGCTAAGTGATCAATAAATAGAAGTGTTTCTAGTTGCCTCTCTAGATCATAGCTGGACACTTGAAAAGTTATTTGTTGTCTATCAAAAACTTCAATCTTTTTTCTCTGCTAATCTTTAGAATCCTCATGAAAAAGCATATAAATCCAGTTTTCTGGAGCAATACAGGTTACTGAAACCCAGATGGTATTTAGATGAAATAAATTATAAACTCTTGGACACAGAGGAATGCTTTTGACTGTCCTGAGTATTTGGTACAAGATTTTTACCTCGAAAATAGGACACATACCAGCATCTGTCTTTGGCCCTGTATTAACATTCCCATTTGAAGAGATGGTTTCTAAGATGTCAGAAGCTCGTTTCAGTTGCTAGGCAAAAAAAAAAAAAAAAAAAGCAAGGCATGACATATTAGCTTCAGACTTGAAAGCAGCAGAGTTCTCAGGATCTGTACTGATCTGTAAAACTAAATCCAGATGTGATGGGACTTGGTGGTCTGAAAGTGAAGCCAGGAGGGGTTTCATATTTTTATGTGATAACTGCCCTCTGGTGGGAGAGACTAGAATTACACTGATAAGAGACAGTATCTGAAATTCTAAATGAGCAATTCTTATTCCTCTTGTTTTTTGACTTCATATCCCAAATAAAAGTCCTCATACACTAAGCCCATTTCACAGTTTGGTCTAACCTTTGCAGCTTTTAGGTCATTCTTGTTGGGAGGGGGTGCAGGATGAGGATTGGGAAATTTTTGAAGAATAAATGTTTAACCCTTGCTTTCCGATTGAAAACTACCAAGCGTAAAATATGCTGGTTCTACCTAAATATACCTAAAGAGGCATCATACTAATGTGAGTAAAGGAACAGTTTTTAGGGACATAAAGACCTGTATTGAATCCTCACTCTGCCCTTTATTCTCTGCTTGTTCCAGAGCAAGTCACGACATTTCTAAGGCTTAATTTCTTCTTAGCCAGGAAAATGGGAAAAATACATACACCTTTTAAGGTTGTTTTGAGGATTAGAAGAGATATCAAACACTTAGGATAGAACCCAACACATAGGAAGTGTTCACTAAATGTTAGGTGTTATTATTGGTAACATACAGGAGGAATGAAGCTCTTTGAGGGGAAAGCTGACCCATTTCACTCAGTAGCAGCAATTTTGCAAAGAATAGCATGTACCATTGCCCATATTCTTTAAACATTAATCAAGGTCTTGGCAAATATAAGATGTTACTGGGTAACTCTACAAGTCACTAATTCTGTGCACACAAGGTTCAGACCAAGTCAGACCCCTGGAGGAATGTACTAAAGCTTCCCTGTCATACCAGGACTGTCTTTATCAACTATGATCAAATTATTTTTTCCCCTTTTCCACAATTTGCTTTTAAGCCCTTTGGTGGTATTAACATTACTTTTTAGTTGCTGAGCTACTAAGCTTGAGAAACTTGAGGCTGCTTTTTTAACCGGAGGGAAATTCCCAAGAAACATTTACTGTAGCTTGTTCACAAATGGTTCTTGGGGGTTTGTGAGTGATTTCTTCCACAACACAGTTTAACTGAGAGGTCAGATAAGGATGTCAAGTTAAAGAAAATGCAGGATTGGAGATAGTAGGGCAGAGGTAGCATGAAGGACCAGCAGTCAGGGGCAGAAATAAATGCCAGGATCCTAACTAGCTTTGTAACCCCAGGCAGATCATTATAACCTCCATGAACCTCATTTTCAGCTGGAAAAGAGAACAAGGGACTGGACTAAATTTACAAGGTCTCTTTCAAGTTAAAAAAAAAAAATGGAGAAGAAAGGAAAAAGAAAAAAAAGACTTAGGTATTATGCTGATTATATACAGCCTGCCAGAGTGCTTTCCAAAACGTGATCATTTTCCTCCGTGTGCACCCCCACTTCTCAACCCCAGCAACTCTTTTCCTGTCCGTTTCATGAGACCATCCAGGGTTGCCTTATCTCCAGCACTGAAAGCTGGCAAAGGGGCGGGTGCCTCAAAAGCACATTTTTAATCTGAGGGCCCTGCCATCAGATAAGAGGAGTTGGTTAATAGGTATCTGTCCTCATAATGTTGTAAAAGAGATTCCCATGTCTCTACACTGTTTCCCCACACTCTTGGAAGACCTGCCTTGCATGTCCCCTTCTATGGATGCCTGATCCAGTGGCACACATGGCTGGGCAGCTACCATGTGGCCTCATTCCCCAGTCCAGGGGTGGACCCCTGACCAGGCTGAGCCAACCATGTTCTCATGGGGATATGGAATTGAGATTCTGAAACATTAGGCCCTGTTGACCCTTGGACTGAAGTGGGCACAGAGTTGAAGTGGCCATTTCCTTCCATGAGAGGGCCAACGCAGAGAAGGTCCATCTGTATGTCTGCCTCACTCTCTTCTCAGTAGGGAATAGCAGAAATGAGAATGCACACAACCTCAGAGAGAATAGTTGCCTTGGAGTTAGGAATTCTATAGAAACCAAAAAATTACTAAGAACCAATTCCCAAGCTGCTTTGTACCCTTGTGTTTTGTGAAACATTTGTATCATTTGGATAAAATTGTCTTTAGTTTTAGAGCTAGTTTGAGTAGGTTTCTGTTAGCCTTTAAAAAGTAAATATCTACTGGCAAAAGAGCTTTGAGGAATTTATTCTGGGGTTCAAGACCCCAAATAATCCATGACTTGAAGGACTAACTCTAAGAGAGAGTACTTAGACACAATACAAGCTATTAGAGACATATTTTGGGGCAGAAGGATCTACTTGGGGTCTTTCAAATTTGTAAGCATCTTCCTGGGCCATCTTCCTGGCCTTGGTAGGAATTCTAGAGGAACATGCTTGGCTAAGCTGTCTATGTCGTTTGCAAAACGGAGCATAACCAAGATTTTAGATCTCATAGATGGAAAGAATAATCAAAACTTAAGGTGGTATGCATTAGCGTATTGATCACAGGAGAAACTAGAGAGACCACTAAGAAACTGGGTGTGTGGGTTGTGTCCATGTGTGGAACCCATGTTTAATCCTTTAATTGTAATATCCAGTGGGGATTAATGAAAATTTGTATTAGAAATTTATGACCGGGCGCCTGGGTGGCTCAGTTGGTTAAGCGACTGCCTTCGGCTCAGGTCATGATCCTGGAGTCCCGGGATCGAGTCCCGCATCGGGCTCTCTGCTTGGCAGGGAGTCTGCTTCTCCCTCTGACCCTCCTCCCTCTCATGCTCTCTGTCTCTCATTCTCTCTGTCTCAAATAAATAAATAAAATCTTTAAAAAAAAAAAAAAAGAAATTTATGACCTACAAGAATTTGTCCATAATAATCAAAGGGCAGGACAAACCTCAAAGGTTTACATTGGCATGCAGAAGATATATTCAGACAGGAGTCCTCATAGAGGACTATTCTGATGATGTCTTTTTCTTAAGTTCCAAAGCAAAATGCACCATCCTGTGGCAAATTCATGGGCTTTGTAAACTGAAGGATGCAAAATCAACAGACTTGTCTCCTTAAGTGCAGTGTTATGTCAGCTCTCTAGCACAGAGAAAACACTCAAGTGTTCATTTCTTCTACAAAACATTAACTTTACCTTGCTACCATGTAGCATTGCAACAATCTAGCCATCTCTTAAGCACCTCCTTGTGATAACATCTTGGTAGTTACAGCATGTGCTTTTATGAACTGCATTACATTCATTTCTCACAGCACTGTACAATACTTCTCCCAACCCCTGAAAAATGTAGACTTTTATACTCTACTGCCTTCAAGACTGTACCCCTCAAAACCCGTCTTCATACATTCATCACCCGAATCTCCTTCTTCCTACTATTCCTGCAAGCACACACATCCCACTTGACCTTTACCCACTGAAATGTTTACCCAGATTTCAAAACACTGTTCCTAATTCAAGTCACTGCATTAGGTGTGTCAGCCAGGTTCCCAGCAGGAAATGTGTCATCTGCGAGCGGAGTAATTTTAGGAGAGTTCAAAAAATGGACTACTACAGAGGTGAGCAGAACTGGGAGAAGCACAGAGATAATGTGATGCCCCTAGGGCTAGCAAGAGCAGGAAGTTATTATGAGCGTTAGGCCTGGAGAAGCCAAGGAGAGGAGGTAACTATTGGAACCGACAGAACTATGGACAGGTCCAGCTGCCAGAAGGGAGGCCTTTCTAGAGACACATAGGCAGACTTCTATGACCTGAGAGGGGAGGAACTGGGAGAACAAATACTCTAACCTCACCACCTAACCCCCACCACATTGCCTTGCATTAGCCAAGCCTCTCAGGAAACCAGAGGCAAGGGACTCATTGATGCAATCCATGCGGTCAGTCTCTCTCTGAGCACAGAGCAGGGGAGAGTGGCTCTGGAGGGCAATGAAAGAGATCCAGCAGGTATTCATGGTGATAAGGTTTTGCCCACTGCCACAGTGCTCAGCAATAATAAGTCAACAACACACTCAAGTTGGGACACATGTGTTCCCAGGAAGCTGACCCTGACATGGGCATTACATGCAGGAGATATATTCAGAGTCAATACCTGTGGTTCAAGACCTCTGAGCATCAGCACCCGTGGGAGATAAGGGCCTGAAATCTATCTTGCTGTTCCTTTGTCACAGTGACCCAAGGTCTCAACCTGAGAAGATTTAGCTTTGATTCCCAATAATGGAGTATATTTGCCTTGGCCCTTTCTGGGCTTCCATGTCTTATCAGTTTACAAATGTCCACATTCTCCATACTTTCCAGCACAAATGGACTAGAGTGTGCACAGCGTGTGTGATATCAACCCCTGGAAGCCAAAAAATGATCCTTGTGGGGTTAGGGGAAGGTGAAAAAATCTTAGATATTACTATGGTCTGTGGCCCTTCAAAGGGCCATAGCACACAAACAGTTGTACAGTGTATCTGAGATAGTAAAACTCCATGAAGTGGGGAATGGGAGGGACAGAATTAGGGTAAAATATGTCAGAAAAGGCACACACCACCACTGGAAAGGTACAGTATAACTGCAGGGCCGTCCACAGTGACCCAGCAGGCACAAGCAACATTTCCAACCCCAGCCTCCAGCATCATCTGCAGGACTTTCTAGGGGCCTAAGTAATAAAGGTTTCTTCTGTTTTACTCCCTTGAGTAGGACATATATGGCCAAGCCAGAACCCACAACTCTGTAGCCAATGTGAAGGGGCTAAAACTGGCCAAACCTATCACATGATCCCATTAATTCATGAACTCTAGCTCTGTGACACAAGACATCTGATACTTTCCATGACCCAAACTTGAAATAAGCCATTACCCCAAAAAGCCCATCTTTAACTGAGTAAGTATTAAGAGATCTGGGTCTGGGGCTGAGGTTGCTCATCATTTCTAGGCCATTTCTTTTTTTTTTTTTAAAGATTTTATTTATTTTTTGACAGAGAGAGAGACAGCGAGAGAGGGAACACAAGCAGGGGGAGTGGGAGAGGGAGAAGCAGGCTTCCCGCTGAGCAAGAAGCCCGATGTGGGGCTCGATCCCAGGACCCTGGGATCATGACCTGAGCCGAAGGCAGACGCTTAACGACTGAGCCACCCAGGTGCCCTGATTTCTAGGCCATTTCTATAGTCCGTACTGGAATATACATAAATTAGTTTTAGAACGCTACATCATCCTCAAAAGAAAACCTCATGCCCATCAACAGTCACTCCCCATTCCTCCACTATCATTCTAGATAAATTTTTATTTCAGTTTTGCATTGTTTAGGTTTGTTGAATGTGGCATGCAAGAACACACCGCCTAGTTTTAGGAGGAGTTTCTTTCTGGGCAAATTCTAGAGTGCCATAAAAGAGATCACAAGCACTCTCATTCCTACCCAGGGTCATTTTCACTCTCTGCTGTACCCCACCCTCCAGAAGAAAGTCCTCTTTTGGAATAAGAGACAAGCAGGAGGTAAATCCCTTAGGGGCATCTTCCCAGCCCACCACCCTGGCTTCCCAACCACACCAGTGCACCCTCAGGAGCCGTTTTATACATGAAACCATGCCCCTGGCCATAGTTGATAGAACCAGAATTGGGCATCCAACCCAGCTAGGCCAGAGCCCTTCCTTGATAATTTGGAGAATCTGAGGGGAGTAGATTGTCATAGAGAAGAGGTAAGATAGAAGGGAAGGGGATTTTGTCAGTTTTCCAGCATTCAGACTGGGTCCATTTGCGGCGAACAGAATTCTAAAATGGTTCCCAAACTTGCCGTCCCTGGTGTCCACTTGTATAACACCCTCCTCCTTGAGAAGGACCCATGAATATGAGATATCTCTACCATGATTTTTTATGTTATATAGCAAAAGGCATTGTACAGATGTAATTAAGGCCCTATATCAATTTGAGTTAAAAGGGATATCATCTCTGGTGGGTCTGTCTTAATAGGGTGAAGAAGCCTTAAAAACAAGGAAGAAAGCAAATATCACACTGTGAACTTCCCATAGAGTGAGGTGGCCTCTAGGAGCTGAGACCTCAGTCCTACAACTATAAAGAACTGAATTCTGCCAATGAACAACCAAGTGAGGATGGAAGAAGGCCCTGAGCTTTAAGTGAGAGCCCCAGCTGACTTGTTGATTGTAGCCCGTGAGCCCCAGCTCATCTGAAGCTAGATTCTTGACCCACAGAAACTGTGAGAGTATAAACTTGTGTTGCTCAAGCCATTAAGTTTGTGGCAGTTAGTTACACAGCAATAGGTAACTAATATACCATTAGTGTATTATTGGGTTTTAAAAAAAAAACATAGCTTGGCACACTTTCATAAATCCTGACTTTCTACTTGAATTAGTTAACAATGGTTTATTTTCTTTCAACCAGAGTCTTACTATACTTCTAGTTCCTTACTTAAGGTTCTCCAGAGAAACAGAACCAATAGCAGATTATCTATGTACAATATATAGTATCTATGTAATACATATACATACACACACATTTGTGTGAATACATATATGTGTGTGTGTGAAAAAGGAAATTTATTATGAGGGATTGCCTGACATGATTATATGAAGTCCCCCCCATCTATTGTCTGTAAACTGGAGACCCAAGAAAGCTAGTGGTATAATTCAGTCCAAGTCCAAAGGCCTAAGAACCAGGGAAGCTGATGGTGTAAATCCCAGTCAGAGGGCAGAAGAGATGAGATGTCCCAGCTCACAGTGAGGCAGGGAAAAAAGGGAGTTAATTCCTTCTTCCTCTGCCTTTTGTTCTGTTCAGGTCTTCAATGGATTGGTTGATGTCCACCCACAATGAAGCGTGTGCTCTACCTTACTGAGTCTACCAGTTCAAATGCTGATCTCATTCAGAAACAATCTCTGCAGACACACCCGGAAATAATGTTTAATCTGGGTAACCCATGGCCAGCCAAGTTGACACATAAAATTAACATTCACAAATTCACCCTCTGTCGACTTGGCCTTCATATATATCTCCTTAAATGGTACTTAATCTCCAAATGAAGACAATGATAAAATCATAATTCCACAATTCCATTAATTCCATAATTCCATAATTAACATGATACAGCTAACCCCTTTCCCAGAAGAGGAGAGAAAATAAAAAATGCACTAACCCCCTTCCCAGAAAAGGAGGTAAAATCCTTGAATGATGTTTATTCTTCTCCTTGATCTCCCGTAATTTAATTACTGTGATGTAAAATTAACAATACTTAGATACTAAGTATATGATATATAAAATCAATACATCTTTTGTTACATGAAAAGGAGATAAGAAAGAAAAGAAAACAAAGACATAGGTACCTACATACATACACTCACAAATGTATTTATAGCAAAATAAGGAGGAAATACGATAATTACAGGCCTTGTACCTGTAGCTGGTATTTATAACTACTTTCTTCCACTACCCATTCTATATTCCCTTTGCCTTCAGCAAGTGCCTCAGCTGGTTGTAGTTCTTTACCTGGGAGGGAGACCCAGACCTTCATCACTGAAAGATCTGGACCATCAGTAGTCCCACCTGGATGGGGTTGTAGTTTTCCACTGATCTTAATCACAGGACATGGTAATACTAAGAGATGCCCTAAGAGATCTTCTGTATTCCACATGTACTCTTCTACCTCCATTATGAGTGGTAGTCCAGTTTCCCCTGGTAGTCAGGATCAGTCATCCCACTCAGTTACTTCTTTCTTTGCTTATTGATTTGGAGGCATGAGAAGCCCAAGTGGCCAGGTGGCAGTCTTAACTTCCATTTCAATAAGATCGTTGTTGTGTGTCCTGGTGAAAGCCTCTGGATTCTTCCTTCTGGAACTCTAGGCCAGCAGACAATAGAGTTGTGAGAAAGGAAACAAAATTCTGCTAGTGAGTCAATAGTGGGAAGAGTGAATTTTGTCACTCCCATTTCATCCCCTTGATCCCTGGACTTGTTAATCTTGGCTATTGGTGAAACAACACCATATATTGGATCCTGATTCAGAGCAGATGCGGCCTTCTGGAAAACCTTGCCCCAGCCCTCAAGGTATTGTTACTTAAGCCAGCACTGTAGACTCAGTTACAGGCCATTCCACCATTCTGCTAAGCCATGTGCTTCAGGATGGTGGGGAAACACAGTAAGACCAGTGAATGCCCTGAGAATGGGCCCATTGCTGCACTGCTTTTGCTGTGAAGTGAGTTCTTTGATGAGAAGTAATGCTGTGTGGAATACCATAATGGTGGATAAGCCACTGTATGAATCCATGGATGGTAGTTTTGGCAAAAGCACTGCATGCAGGGAAGGCAAATCTGTTTTCAGAGTGTGTATTCCAGTGAGAACAAAATGCTGTCCCTTCCATGATGGAAACAGTCTAACATAATCATCCTGCCACCTCACTGTTGTCTGTGGGAAATGGTGCTATATCAGGGTTTCAGTGTTGGTCTCCACTGCTGGCAGGTCGAGCATTCAGTGGTAGCCCTAGCCAGATCTGCCTTGGTGAGTGGAAGTCCTTGTTGCTGAGCTCAGGCATAACCTCCATGTCTGCCACTCTGGCCCCTTTGTTGTAAGCCCATTGGGTGAAGACAAGGGAGAGAGTCTGGTATCCACACAATGGGTCATCTCATCCACTTGATACTAAAATCCTCTTCTGCTGAGGTCACTCTCTGTGAGCATTCACATGGGACACAAATAGTTTCATAGTTTTTGCCCATTCAGAGAAGTCTATCCTATAGTCTATTCTTTGTCACTAATTTTCTAATCATGTCTCTTCCAAGTCCCTGACCATCCAACTGAACCATTAGCCATACCCCATGAATCAGTCTATAATTGTACATCTTGCTATTTCTTCTTCTAAGCAAAGAGAACAACTAGGCATATTGCCTGAAATTCTGCCCACTGGGAGGATCTCCCTTCACCACTATCCTTCAGGGATATCCCAGGGAGGGACTTTAGTGCTTCTGCTGTTTACTTTTGGGTGGTGTCTGCACACCATGCAGAACTATCTGTAATCCATTCTTCTCTTCCTCTGTCAACTATCAAAGGGAACTTCCCCATGAGGCAGGCTGGGAGAGAGAAGGAAGTACAGCAGGAGTGGGGACCATGGGCCTGTGGGCCATTCTTCATGTGCCTTCTGGACATGCTCAGACCCAATCACATACATACCATTTCCATTTGTTGATTGAATATTGCTGTGCATGCCCAACTTCATGATGTGGTGGGTCAGAGAGAGAGCACCCAGTTCATATTGAGCAGCTCAGGTCACATGGTAGCTTAGTGGCCCATGGTTACATGCTCAGTCTCTACTAAGGCCCAGTAGCAGGCCTAGAGTTGTTTCTCAAAAAGAGAGTAGTTATCTGCATATGATGGCCAGGCTTTGCTCCAAAATTCCTAAAAGTCTGCACTATGATTCACCTATAGAGGCTTGCCAAATGCTCCAAAGAGTATCACTATCTAAAACTGATACTTTAGGCACCATCTGGTTAAGCTCATGATAATCCACTGTCATTCTCCAAGATCCCTCCATCTTCGCACAGGCCAAATTGGAGGGTCGAATGGGCATGTGGTGGGAGGCACTACTCCTGCATCTTTCCAAATTCTCAATGGTGACATCTTTCAAATTCTCAAAAATCTCTGCAATTCCTCCAGGAATGTGGTATTGCTTTCCCATTACATATTTCTACCAATACTTACATTTAATTTACCTCTGTTCTCCCTTGCATGATGAATGATATAAATCTGAATAGAATGGGTCAAAAGAATCATGGAAAAATTCTAAGAGGGAGACATGGGCCAGGAATAGAAGAACTGACTATTTATGATTGAAGCAATTAAACAAAAAGTCAAAGATAATTTTCTGTAAGATTATTATCTCAAAGAAACACATCTGAACAGAAGTACGCTTTCTTCTAACGAGGTTACAAAAAGAAAAAAATAGGTTCTCTTTTAAAAATATGCTTCATCATGCCTTTTGGCACCAACTGGATAAAGTGGTGAACATGTTCCTCTATTTGGTGACCTCCAACCTTCAAATTCTAACCAGCTTTACAAGGACAATATCTTCTGGAGAAAATTCCCAGCCCCTCATCTTCTTAACCACAGCAGTGGGCCCCAGAGGCCATTTTGTAAAAGATGAACCCACCCTCCTAGGCCCAAACCCTCCCTTGGTAATTTGGGGGGCAGATACACACAGGCCCTCCCACAGGTAAACTCTCTACGGAGATGCTCACAACAAGGGAAGTTTGATTTCTTGGTGACCATGGCAGCCATGGAAGTATACTACTCACTTCTCAGTTCAAGAAAGACCTGGAGTCAGGAAGCGCAAGAGTAGAGTCAGCTGACAGCCTCCAGTCGTTAACACCTGCAGAATCTGCCTCAACTTTTGAGCCCAGGCCAACCTGGTTCCAGGCAACTCCTACCTAATGACTAAGCACTACAGGGTACTGAAGCCTGGACGTTTCTGCCAACATGGAACACCTCTAACAGATAATCTTCACTCTGGAGCTCCCCTCGTGTCTGCATCATGGCCTGAGGCTCTTCCTGCCGGATCCTGCTTCCTCCCCACTCTCCTGTAGCAGGTGTCAGGCCTGCATCATGTTGTGAAAACTTCCCCCGCGCAATCCAGCTTCCTCTTCCTTTTCTCTTTCACAGGTCTTACATCCCAACAAACCTCTTATGCTCCTAACTCCATCTCAAGGTCTCCGTCACAGAGGACCCAGCTAACCCAGTGGCCATACTTGGCCATAGGATTGAAGAGAAGAGGAAACCAATCTGTATATAGATAAAAAGAGAGGAGAGGAAGAAGGTGAGTACTGTTAGTTTCCCAGTACCTGTTTCCACTTCCTTCAAGAGATCTGATTGCCTTTTTATCCATGAGTTCCATGGGACACTATAAATAAATTTCTTATCTTTTCTTGAGTTAGGTTTTTACTCTTTTGTCATAGGATAAGTAACTGATGTGTTTTTGATAGCCTCTTCAAAAAAGAAGGGAGAGTTAGGGTCACAAAACCACCACCCTAATTATACCCCTTACATAGGTCTATCAATATTCACCCCCAGCCCACCCACCACCCATACCATGAAGTCTGAAATGGATGGAAAATCACCAAGAATATTCCTCCAAGACAAAGTGGAAGAAGGGACATGGGGAAGAAGATCATTAACACTAATTGTGATAATCATCTTATACTATGGAAGAAAGGGGCATTTTCAGCTAAGTTAACCAAAAAAGAAAAAATATATATAAAGGTATAACTGTGAAGCAATTAAAAATAAGCTATTTTAAAGAAATGGCTTCACTGGCTCTGCAGGCAGCAGAGGGGATAAGATACAGAATGTATTTCTATGTTCAGTGACCTTTAATATTCAAATATATTTTAGCAGCATACATTAATTCAGTACCTACTATGTGCCAGGTCTGGAAAAAGCATTGGTTACACAAAGATGAAAGGCTGATCCCTTAAAAGAACAGGAGCATTCAGGAGCAAATAATGAAAAAGAAGTCTAGAGATAAACACTCAGAATGAAATTTCCTTTCCTTAGGTTGTATTATTGTTAGTAAAGAAAGGCAGGGACAAGAGAAGTTTTCCAAAGGGTTACTGAAGCATTGGAGCAATAAAAAAAATATACCATTTTTAAAAAAAAGAATGGGAATTCTTTGAAAATTAGGCACATTTTGAAATGAGCAAGAGGAATAACATACTAAATGTAACTACCAAGATTTATCAAGAGAAGAATGAAAAGATCCCACACCAAGGTTGACAGGAAATTACCCTGAGCCATGTCCCCTATGAGTACCAGTTCCAAGCCTGCCTGCCCAAATTCCTCCTGAGAAGTTTACATGGGCTGCACCACTGGTGAGAAACTAAGCCCTCCATGGACAATTCCATACCAGTTTTTTCCAACCTTACTTATGGAGCCCACAGTCTAGCCACCGTGGTCTACCTTCCTTGACTCTATTTGAATTCCATCACAATTTCTTTGGATGGTGGTAGTCAGCAACCAAGATGTCTCCCAAAGTCCTTGGTATCACACCCTTGTTTGTACTCTGCCACATTAAATAGAGCTGACCTGTGTAACTAATAAGATATTGCAGAAATGACAATGTGTGATTTCTGAGGCTAGGTTACAAGAGACATTGAGGCTTTCACCTTACTCTCTCTCTCTAATTATTCCCTGTGAGGGAATCTAGCCACCATCATCCCACATTGGGAAGAACCGAGGACGCCTTCCAACAATCAGCACCACATGAGGGGACCATTTCGGAAAAGGATCCTCCAGCCCCAGTGAAGTCTTCAGATGACTGAAGCCCTGTCAGCATCTTAACTGCAACCTCATGGGAGAAACTGAGACAGCCACTCACCTGAGCCACTACAGTTCCCTTCCTTCTGGGCAGTGTAACCTGGAAACAGGATTCTCTTAAGCAGTGAATTTCACTTTGTCTGCTGCAGATTGGCCTTGACTGAGGTAGTTAGGATGAATTCCACTCAGCTCTGGCTGTCATTCCTCTTTGGTCATTTAAGAGTCCCTCTGTGACCCTCTTACACTGTTGATGGGAATGCAAGCTGGTGCAGCCACTCTGGAAAACAGTATGGAGGTTCCTCAGAAAGTTAAAAATAGAGCTACCCTACAACCCGGCAATTGCACTACTAGGTATTTATCCAAAGGATACAAACATAGTGATCCGAAGGGGCACCTGCACCCCAACGTTTATAGCAGCAATGTCCACAATAGCCAAACTATGGAAAAAGAAGAGGTGGTGTGTGTGTATATGTGTGTGTGTGTGTGTGTATAATGGAATATTACTCAGCCACCAAAAAGAATGAAATCTTGCCATTTGCAATGACATGGATAGAACTAGGGGGTGTTATGCTAAGCAAAATAAGTCAGTCAGAGAAAGACAAATACCCTATGATTTCACTCATGTGTGGAATTTAAGAAACAAAACAGATGAACATAGGGGAAGGGAAGGAAAAATAAAATAAGAGGAAAACAGAGAGGGAGGCAAACCATTAGAGACTCTTTTTTTTTAAGATTTTATTTATTTATTTGAGAGAGAGAGAATGAGAGAGAGCACATGAGAGGGGGGAGGGTCAGAGGGAGAAGCAGGCTCCCTGCCGAGCAGGGAGCCCGACGCGGGACTCGATCCAGGGACTCCAGGATCATGACCTGAGCCGAAGGCAGTCGCTTAACCAACTGAGCCACCCAGGCGCCCCCATTAGAGACTCTTAACTGTAGGAAACAAACTGAGGGTTGCTGGAGAGGAGGTGGGTAGGGGGATGGGATAACTGGGTGCTGGGCATTAAGAAGGACACTAGAAGTAATGAACACTGGGTATTATATGCAACTGATGAATCACTGAATTCTACCTCTGAAACTAATAAGGCAGTCTGTGTTAATTAAGTTGAATTTAAATTAAAAAAAATTTTTAAGTAAACGTACAGGGGGAAAAAAAGGGTCCCTCTGTGGAGTTACTCTTTACCTACTGTGGCTCTCTAATCTTCTTGAGGCAAACATGAATAGAAAAATACTTTGTGTGATCTCACAACTATAGGAATAGATGTTCCCAGTATTATATGAAGAATGATTTCCTAAGAATATTTGTATTACAGTGTACTTGGTAGATAGACAGAAAGAAAGAATGAGTAAGGATGATACAAAGGATGATACAAAGCTAAACAACCCAGACTCCTGTAATTTTCAGTTGCTATGAAACAAATTGCTCCAACACCTACTGGTGTAAAACCATAAACACATTGTCCTAGCTTCTGTGGGTCAGAAGTTCAGTAGTGGCTTAGCTGAGTGCTTCAGTTCCTCCCAAGGTGGATGATGGTGGTTGCAGAGTGAATGGGATCACATTATTGTTGTTAAAATAAATCCACCCCCTCTCCTCTCACATCATCTATGTCATGAGAGGGAATTCTTTGATCTGAGAGGGCTGGACAAAGCCTGCATCGTCTGCCCCTGACTACCTCTCCAGGACGATCTATTTAAAATGTAACAGGTTCATATACTTTGCCTCAGCAACAATAACATCTAATGGCCTATAGCCCTCAAACTGTCCCTGGCACTGTTCTTGAGAATTTATAACATCTCATTTAATCCTCACTCAAATCCTATGAAGATATTTTACTATTATCCCAATTTGGGGGGATGAAATTGGAGATTAGTTTTCAATATATGAGTGAGGGGTGTATAAACATTCAGTCCATTGCATTAAGATCCTCATTTATAAACTACAGTAATCTCACATAGTTTAAGTAATGTCCCTCATTGGGCTTTATAGAAGCAGTGCTGAGACAGAGTCTGGGGTACAAGATACTTACTAGGGATCAGCACCTGTGAAAAGAGATGAAGCAAGATTGGACAGAGGGGAAGTCAAACAGCAATGCAGAGCTGACAAAGCCTGGGCCAGCCTGCTCAGTAGCTGTGCAAGAAGCATGTGTTGTCAGGGTTAGACAAGAGGATGGGTCCCTTATACACACTTTGCCTAGCCACCAGATGGTTTGCTCATAGAAGGGCAAGGAGGCTCTTTTCAGCTGAGGCAGATTCTGAAGAAGCAGACAGCTGAGGATGGTCTGTGACAACATTCCCTGTACCTTGGTAGCAAGTCCTACCCTGAAAGGAGATCTGGGTGGTGCTGCTCCATGTCTATCATGTATGACATTTTTGAAATTATGTTCTGGAACACCAGCCTTCTGCAAGGTGTCCTGGCAGTATCCCAGAGTTATTTGTCCATGGTGTACCCATTCATACTCCCCTGTTGGGGAAGCCAGACCACATTCATGAGCACATCAAAGTCTCTGAGAGGTAATCTTGCAGTAATCGAATCTGTTTGACATTAACTCATTGATTCACTCATTTAGCCATAGAACACTTTTGGGGAAACTAATGACATTTCTTGAAACACCAAAAGGAAAATGCTGTCAAGCACCATGGACTCAGCAAGTATCTCGGCTATGGTGGATAGAAGCTTCAATTCTTTTTGATAATGGGAATATGCCTCTGGTTGGGAAGAATGTCAAGGCTTTGTTTATATATTCTCTAAACCTCTAAAGATAAGTATGGCTTGTATTTTTTCCTTTCTCAATTGATTTTAAGTAAAGTGGTAGTAAAATAAAACAAGTTGGTTAACAACCACTTTCTATAACTAATCATCATAATTATAGCTACTGCCCAAAACCTGAAGCTCATGAAGAAAGCCCATGAAAATAAGCCAGACACTTAGTATAGCTTCTCTACTCAGCTGCCTAAACCCACACAAATGAGCCAGTTTCACACAGGATATTCATATTCACTCATGATACCCACTGATTCTAGTTTAAGGATTAGAGGGAAAGTAATCCCTAGGAGACTGTTTATTCAGCATGCTGGAAGTTGATTTCTTTTGTGCATCTCATCTATATCTGGAGAGTAACTAAAAGCAGCAAAGAACAGAAGTCAACAGAAAGGGAAACAGATTCTATGACTTTCATTTAGTGAAGTTGCTAAAGACATGTTAATTTTCTGATTTCAGCCAAATGTTCCAGGCCTCCTATATTACCTCATCCCTACGCTGTCAAGCTTAGCTTTCCTCCCACTTTGCTGGTTCTTTGCCCCCATCTTCTCCTACAGGATTTGAGTCTTGAGCAAACCCAATACCCCTTGGACTCCCCCAAATATAATCTTGGAGATATGACACGGTGGTGGGCAGGTCTTCTGCTAGTGTTACCTTCCACTCTTCTTGTTGGTATTGATTGCTTCTGGATACTTCAGGGAGGCTGCCCCCATTGCCAAATCATTCCTGGGTTCCCAAAGCTGCAAATCACTCCACAAACTGAAGGGGATGCGTGGCTTCTGGTCCTTATTCTCCCAAACACTGTAAAAAGCACAGCACAGAAATAGAAAAAATATTTCTCCATCTGAGTCACACTTGGCCCTCTAGATCTGGAGATAGCGCTGCTTTGTACCCCAAGTCTCAAAATCCCTGTATCAGAAGCTCCTTCTACTGCCACTTAATACCCCAAAACAGGAACCAGACCTAGTAGTAATTTCCCCCCATTGCCCTTTTTACCACAGAGAAACATCTTCTCTTTTTTCTTTCTCCATGCAAGTCACTCATAATTTGAAGCTATGGGACCAGCAGTGGCCGAAACAAACATAGTAGGGAGATTGTACCCCTGCTCAAGTGGTTCAAAAAGAGTTTTTCCCACCATAGGATCCAGCAACCCCTTTTCTGGGTCTATACCCAAAGGAAATGTAGTCAGTATCTCATCTGCATTCCCATGTTCATTGCAGCATTATTCACATTAACCAAAATATGGAAACATACCTAAGTCTCAATGGATGAATGGATAAAGTGTGGTATATACTTGTGTATAAGTATTTTTCAGCCTTAGAAAAGAAGATCATGCCATTTGCAACATGGATGAACCTAGAGGACATATGCTAAGTTAAATAAGTCAGACGCAAAAAGACAAAAACTTCATGACCTCACTTATATATGAAATCTAAAAAAATCAAGTATGTAGAAGCAGAGAGTAGAATTGTGGTTACCAGGGCCTGGGGAGTGGGGGCAATAGAAAGATGTTGGTCAAAGTTGCACTTACGTAAGATGAATAAGACTGGAGATCTAACGTACAGCATGATCACTACAACTATTAATATGGTATTGCATACTGGAAATGTGCTTAAGGGAGTAGACTTCACCCCACACACGTAACTAAGTGAGAGGATATGTTAATCAGCTTCACTGTGCAATCATTTCACTACATATATGTATATCAAATCATCATGCTGTACACCTTAAATATATAAAATTTTATTTTTTTTTTAAAAACAGACTTCCTTCTCAATGGGAAGGAAAATTAAACTTTTCTTTTCTTTCCAAAGACCCAAAAGAGTCATTTCCATTATCGCTGGGAGAAAGGCTGGATCTTCTGTGGGCATGTCCGCTCTGCAGATGCCATTCTGCTGCATCTGTCAATGAAGAACATTGGAAATTCAGGGGATGATGGGCCGAGAGTTTACTGTGGAAGAGGTTACAAACTCCTACATGTGACGGTCACTCACGATTCCCTGATTATATCTTCCTTCCCATCATGTGAACCATGAGAAGCAGCTGGTGGGGAAAACGTTTAATTTTCAAAGTTTCCAAAGATTAACATGTTACATTTTTTAAATTGCACATTAGAAAAGGATATTTGGGGCGCCTGGGTGGCTCAGTTGGTTAAGCGACTGCCTTCGGCTCAGGTCATGATCCTGGAGTCCCAGGATCGAGTCCCGCATCGGGCTCCCTGCTCGGCAGGGAGTCTGCTTCTCCCTCTGACCCTCCTCCCTCTCATGCTCTCTGTCTCTCATTCTCTCTGTCTCAAATAAATAAATAAAATCTTAAAAAAAAAAAAGAAAAGGATATTTGTTTATGCTTCTTGGAAAGAAGCATAGAACTAATGTTGACAGTGCCCAGCCCAGAACTCAGCTGCTAACAACTCCCTCAAGTGCTGATGGGCTCCTGCTTGTCTCTGCTGAGGGTAATCTCTGGGCAAGGGAGCTTCCATATGTGAGGCTGGCAGGAGGGGGAAAGGAATTAACCCCCCCTCCCGGGGATGCACCTTCAACCAAAGAGGGGCCAGAGTTTGTAAATACCCCAAATTCCTCGCCTCCCTTTGGGACAATTCTGAGGGGTGTTCTCCAGAGTTGCTCAAAGCATCATACTCCAGCTATCCATGGTAGTAACCTCTTTAATGCAAACTTTATTTTTGTCCTTTTCTATGTCACTTGCCCACTCCCTCATATTTCCTAGAGTCACCAATCAAATTAATAACCTCCGTCCAAATCCTTGTTTTAGGGTCTGCTTTTGTGGGAAACCACGTATAAAAATCTAGGATTTCAGAAATTTTACATGCAGTCCCACAGACCTCCTATGGTGTTGGCTTCTGAAGGTGTTAACAGAATCAGCATTTGATTTTACGGACAGCTGGAAAAATTCCTCTGTCTGCACCAGAGTCTCCACAGACCAGGAGGAAAGAGGTGGAGTAGCTAGCTACAAATGGCCTGCCATTGCTAGCTGGGGAGCAAGCTAGTAAGGCTTAGAAAGCACCTTCAAGAGAGGGAGGAGGCTGAATGCACTTTTATTAGGCACATTAGAACCCCAGAGAGGGGCTGGCTGGGGCAGGAGACTGGGCCTTCTGCGGGTCCTTATGGTTGGCTCCAACTGGGCTAATGTCTTAAAGTCATGGACAGTTGCTGCACATCACTGAAAGCTATGGAAAAACATGAAGTATGCATTAAAAGGAGAGGGGAGCAAGCTTTTGCAAGCCTGTTGCAGAAGGCAGTGCAGGAAGGAGCAATAGAAAGGGGTCTGGCAAACCAAGAGCCAAGAGTAACACCTAAACCTGAGGATAAACAGGGTGAGTCTGAAGATGAGAACGGAAGAATGAACCCAGCCATGTGGTCAATAGTCAGCTCCAAATATGCTGGTCATTCAAGACAGCAAACTCATCCCTTTCTTGCCACACCTACCTCTTACACACATACACACACACACACACACGCATGCACGTATGCACACACTCACACCCCAGGGGTTTCCCCAGGATCAGGAGAACCCCTGAAGGGCTCCATGCAGGAATGGAAGAGGCAATAGGTGGGGGTCAGCTTCTCACTGTGGAAGCTTTGAACTCTCCTCAGAAGCCAAACTCATTTTGTTGTTCTTAGAGTCTTCGAGAGCCTACCAGCTGCTAACCATGTCTAGCCCAGAGAAGCACCTTGCCCTGGTTATGGACTATTCATCTATTTGTCCTCTGACAAGAGACCCATGTGGAGGGCAGAAAATATCCAAGGGAAAATAAGGACTGACTGGAGAGACAACACATCAGGGGAGGGAAGGCTTAGCTGAGGCTGGCTACGAGGCTGAGGCTCATCTCCCAGGTGGATGTTTTGCATGAGAGGCAGAGGGGAGGGAGGTGCTGAGAGAGGAACCATGGAGGAGAGGTGGCACAGTGGTGGCTCAGTCTGGCAGCAGGCGCTCAGCTCAGGCTCACAGACCCTCTGAACTCCACGGAAGTGCAGCAGTTGGCCCACTCCTGGTCCAAAAAGGACTGACAGGCATTGTTTTCCATTTGGTGTCTGGAAGCCCTTGCAGCCCAAGACTCAGCACTCCAGGTAGGGCAGCAGGCTCCAGGAGGTGACACATGACAAATGGGAGAAATGTGACCTACCCAAGGGGGCGCAGCAGGCACAGGCTGATTTGAGCACAGATGCGACACTGCCTGGGGTTCCCTAGAAAGGTATGGTAGAGGGAATCCTCTGTAGGGGGATTACAGTGTCCCCGTAAATGAGCAGTCAGGGTAATGAGCCAACAAATATTGGGCTTAGATGCTAATAAAAACTGTTCCCATGGGCTGACGCTACATAGAAGCGCAGTATGAGAAAGGTGTTCTCCCCTCCAATACGGTGGCATGGAGAGAAAAGAACTAGAGAGAAAGGCATGATGGAAAAGAAATGCACAGTAATAACCCCAGCCTTTTCTAACAGTGTCTGACATGACTGGGGGCCTAGGGGAAAGCCCCTTTCATGGGCTGCCCAGAAGCCATCAGACTTCCTCAGATTCTCATTAAGAGAAGCTCCTCAAGAGCTTCAGAGGTCCTGGCTCCAGCTTCCAAGCACCCAGACTCCACTAACACTGAAGAGTAGAAAGTAAGTAACTCAGTTACTTGCTATCTGGTAATTACTGTAAACAAAAGTTCTTTTTTCTAAAACTTCACTGAAAACTTCTATCAAATACACAGAAAGTATAACGGACCTCCAAATCAGAAGTTTACCTGCCACTTTTCATTGTCTTGTGTTGTAGTTTCCTAATGTGATGACATTTCTTTAGGAGCCCTGTGAGAGAATGCGGTCTCTGCAGTGCCTGAAACTAACACTGTAGCAGCTTTATATGTGTTAGTCATACCTGAAGCTCTTTCTGTGCAGCTTTCTTCTTTTGTCTGTACAACAACCCTGTGACCTAAGTACTATGACCAAGCCCATTTTCCAGATTTGAAAACTGAGGCACAGGGAATATAAATAGCTGGCTTTAGGTAGGGAGCTGGGATATGAGGAGCAGAGCCCTAAAGTCCAAGCTCTTAACCACTGGGCTACACCCTGGAGGTGGCTGTTTGCTTCCCACACCCCACCCACTTCATATGACATCAGAAAGGGTTTTGATAATGGGGAGGGGGAGGGATATGTCTGGCAACTGGCACATGCATTTCATGGAAAGTTTCAGAAATAAAATAAGGGAGAATGTATGCTTAAATTGCATACACACGGGTGCCTGGGTGGCTCAGTCAGTTAAGCAGCTGCCTTCTTCAGCTCAGGTCATGATCCCGGAGTCCGGGTATCGAGCCCCTCATTGGGCTCCCGGCTCAGCAGGGAGTCTGCTTCTCTCTCTGCCGCTCTCCCCTGCTCATGCTTGCTCTCTCTCGCAAATAAATAAAATCTTTTTTTAAAAAATGCATACACAGGGGCGCCTGGGTGGCTCAGTTGGTTAAGCGACTGCCTTCGGCTCAGGTCATGATCCTGGAGTCCCGGGATCGAGTCCCGCATTGGGCTCCCTGCTTGGCAGGGAGCCTGCTCCTCCCTCTGACCCTCCTCCCTCTCATGTGCTCGCTCTCTCTCGTTCTCTCTCTCTCAAATAAATAAATAAAATCTTTTAAAAAAATGCATACACAAAACCATTTTAATCTAGTAAGGGCTAGTTTGAAATCTTCTAGAAGAACCCTCATCACAACTTCTTCACTTGCAATTCCAGAAGAGACCATGTTAGTAGCATATTTAACCATAAATCTTAATTAGAATATTAATACTCAACCAACATAGAGGACATCTAGACCAGTA